TTCTCTGGTGTACCCCTGATATGCCCCTGATATCTAGCATCAGGGTCGAAAATTGTCTGACATAGTCCCTTATGCTTTCAGTTTGCTTTAGGGCTATTAGTTTTTTCATTGCTAGATGGTCTACATTTTTTTTGGAGGAATTGGTCCCTCAATTCTCTCTTGAGGTCTTCCCACGAGTCAATGGTGCACAATCCATTCTCGATGTCTTGTACCTTCGTATGCCACCAAAGTTTGGCATTGTCTATGAAATACATCGAGGCTACTGTCACCTTTATGTCGTCGGTACAAGCCGGTGTGGCTTTGAAGTACTGTTCGACATCAAAGATGAAGTTCTCTAACTGTTTGGCATCCTAGTTCCCTTTGAAAGGTCTAAGGTCTGGAAACTTCAGCTTGTTGGATCCTATATTAGTTTGCCCAGCCAAGACGTTCTCCACGGCTTTCATGGTCTCCTCGATTTGGGTGCTCATGGCGGACATCTTTTCTTGGATGTCATCAATCGTTGTTCTGAATTCGTCAGCTAATCCATTGAACAAACTCATTATTGTATTTTGTAGCACGTCGAACTCTTCGCCACGTCCCTCCTTGTGCGCGACAAAGCTATCGGGGCTACCATACGGTCTTGGGCTGCTCGTAGGAGCAACTTTTTCTTCGAGTGAGGTCACTCGAAACATCAGTTTTGCCATTGGCAACCCATCCAGGTGGTTACCCATTGCGTCAATCTCTACGACTTTTCCACTCAATTCTTTCACCCGTGCTTCCAGGAAGCGGATGGTGTCAGGGACTTCTTTGAGGAACAACATTTCCTCCTCTATTAAAGTAAGCCGGTCGGCTTGTGATTTGGGTGTCGACTTTGTCGTCGACATGTTTTCAGTCTTTGCTATTTCATGGAGCTTACAAAGCTCTAATACCACTTGTCACAATCGCACTTTTAATGGCAGTAGACTTGCAATTGTGCGGCACTCACTTTCCAACAACAAGTGAGCTAAGCCAATTCGTTCTTGCGTCACCTACGGCCAAGTGACGTATGCTCAAGCCTCTGGCCTCGATTTTAAGAGAAGGTTTTAGAAAATGAGGGCAGAGAGAGATTTTCGAAAGAGAGATTTTTGAAATAGACGTTATATAAGCAAGCAAGAGAAAAATAACAACGGCTTACAGTATATAACCTTGGGTAGGGAGAAGTTGACAACTAGTCGTATCCCCCTATAGTACATTCTGAGGCATTTCATGTCTGACAGACCTAGACATGATATTTCTGAAACGTCATACTTCCTAGAAATATAAAAGTAAAACACTAGAATATGAAAAGACATAAAGGGTTGGGCTTGTCATGGGCATGCGGCCATGGGCAACACGCCTTGGACGAGCATGACCGTGACACTGAGCACACATTCTTCACAAAATTTTCCTTCTAAGTCCATGTTTGGTAGCCCATGTACCATATTCTTCTTCACTAACTCCTTTAGGCCGCCATGATGTAGGTGATCAAAATGGAGATGCCAGAGTGATGCCTTGTCTTTTACGTCGACTCTCAAATACTTTTCTCGTATGCTTCTTAAATTCAATTTGTACATTCGATTTCTTCCTATCTCGACTCGAGCAACCAAACGCTCTTTCTTATCCTTCAGGTGTAGCAGACGGCCCTTTAGGAATATCGAGTAACATTTCTTTGTGAGTTGTCCCATACTCAATATGTTGGTCTTGAGATCTGGTACGTAATAGACATCTTGGATTGACCCCATCACACCATCCTTTTGCAAGAAGTGTATCGTACCTCGACCTTTTACCTCCACCTTCGACGCATCTCCAAATGACACGTGACCATCTTCAATCTTTTGCATTTCTTTGAATAGGTGCTCGTGACCGCACATATGGTTGCTTGCCCCTGAGTCGAGGTACCTCAGAGTGTCGTTATTGATGTTCTCTTCATCTTGAGCCATCAAGAGAAGACCATCATCTGTTACGTCTTCCACGGCTAGGTTGGTTGTTCCTTCCACCCTTTTTCCTGCTCGATATGCTTTTGCAACGTGCCCCATTCTGCTACAATTGTAACATTTTTCGGAGTTACAATCATTCACGTAATGACCATATTTTTGACATTTATAGCACTGAATGTTTGATCGGCCACCTCTTCTACGCCAATTTGCTTGGCTCGACAGTCTCTTCTCTGGGTAGTTTTCTTCGTAAGTGTTGCCTTGACCACCTCGACCATTCCCGCGACTTCAACGACCTCTACCTTAAAAATTTTGAGAGTAGAGTGCCTTTTCATCCTTTATCGATGCCTTCGTCTGAAGCGCTTGATCAAGTGGCTCCTCCTTCTTTTTCTTACGTTGCTCGTGTGCCTCGAGAGAACCGGCAAGCTCATCGACTGTGAATTTTGCAAGGTTCTTCGACTCTTCTATTCCACATACGACATTCTCGAAGTTGTCGGTTAACGACTTCAAGATTTTCTCCACAACCCGCATCTCGGGTAACATTTCTCCTTTTCGATTTAGCTGATTCGTCACGGTCTGTACACGTGTAATGTAGTCAGCTACATTTTCTGACTCCTTCATCTTCATACTCTCCAACTCGCCACACAGAGTCTGGAGACGTACCTGCTTGACTCAGTCGGTTCCTTTGAACACCTCTTTTAGAGTATCCCTTCTTTTGAAGTAGTTGTCCTTGTAATCTTCTCAAAGCCCGACTCGTCAACAGGTCGGAACAGCATATATAATGCTGCCTTATCCTTTGAACGTGCTTCCTTTAGCGCCTTATTTTACGTCGCCATATACCTCGTGGTATCCTTCAGTTCTTCAAAACCGTCTTCGACCACCTCCCATGCGTCTTGCGAACCGAGAAGAGCTTTCATTTGGATGCTCCAATTCTCGTAGTTCGTTTTCGTCAATCGTGGTAGCGGCATTTGTCCCATCATGTTCGCCATCAGCTCTGATACCAATTTGTAGAAAATAAATTTGCTCTAATACCAATTTGTTGAAATTAAAAGCCGCTCCGATACCAACTTGTAGAAAATAGACGCTCGCTTTGAAACTAACTCATATAACTCTCACGAAACTTTGAAGGGGTGTCCAGAGGGGAGAGACAAGGAGACAAAAAATTCTCAAAAGCCTTTTTCTAGTATCCTATTTATAAGTTTTCCTAACGCCGTAAATTGACCATAACTATCCCATGTTTTCTTCACTCGTTTTCTCACCCATAACCTCTCCTCTCCTAACATACATTTGGCTTTTGACTGAATTTAAAACCAAAAAATAATAATCCCTCTTTCTCTCTCTCATTTAAGTTTATTTCCAACCAACTGTTTGACATATTCTCCAATGCTACTAGTATGTTTAAGGTCGCGTCATTCTCTTCTGGCCATGATCTCAACATTCCTTGGGAAGAATTGAGACCGAAGCTCCTGTTTTAGTCTCTCCTAAGTGTCTATTGTGCATCGGCCCTCTTGGATGTTTACATACTTCCAACCGCCACCACAATTTTGCATCCTCAGCCAGATGCATGGTGGCCACAGTGATATTTTCTTCCTCTGTCTCAGTGTCAATCGCTTTAAAGTACTGCTCAAGTTCGAAGATGTAGTTCTCTAAGGCCTTGGCGTCCCGAGTCCTGGAGAAGGGCTTGGGTTCAGGAAGTTTGACCTTGTTGGGTCGCGTTGTCTTTCGAGTAGGGGTTTGGTTCTCCACCGACCTTACGACAACGTTTACTCTGACGCTTATGTCCGCCATTTCTATCCTGACTACGTCAAAGGCTTCTTTCACATCTCAACGCTGAGTGGGTTAAGCCAACTGTCACAATCGCGGTTTCTAGGCAGCGGATTTGGCGATTGTGCGGCACCCACTCTCAACGCTGAGTGGGTTAAGCCTACTTCGAGTTACGTTGCCTGAGGTCAGCCGACCCTATGTTAATTGAAGGAAAATCAATGAGGCAACATTTTGGGAGACTTGATGGTGTGCTTTCGGAGGACACATGCCACACAATAAAAAAAAAATAATAATACTAATGTCTTAGGTTCGCCTGGACTCAAAGCCAAGAACACTCGTGTCATGAGTGGGATGCGTGTCAAGTAGTGAAATTTTTTTGGGAGTTTATGTTAACTTATTCTTAAATTAAGGGCCACAGCGACTGGCCAAGGTATTTGCACGTGAGCCCGTTGCGAGAGAAATTGCGCATAGAAGCCTTTCCAGCCACACATGGGGCACTTGAAGGTTTGTGGAAGGTGATCTTTTGACTATTTCTCCCCATGCTAAAACCAAAATGACGTGAATTATGACTATCTAGTGGAAGTTTTAGAGATTTGGAGCACTGAAAATGACATGCGAGAAGAGTGATATCATAATCCTTTACGAACTTCAACTATCTACTCAACACATCGGCCACTATGTTAGCTTTACATGGATGATAAAGGATCTTGGTATCATAATCCTTTACGAACTTCAACTATCTCGTTTGTCCCATCTTCAACTCTTTCTGCGTAAATAAGATACTTGAGGCTCTTATGCTTAGTATATACCTTTACTTTTTCACCGTACAAGTAATGTCACCATATTTTTAATGCGAACACCACAGTTGCTAACTTCAAATTGAGGGTTAGATAGTTACGCTCATATTTCTTAAGCTATTAGGAGGCAAGTACAATCACTTTGCCAACAACACCAACACGCAACCCTAGCCCTTTCCTTGAGGCATTATTCTACACCATGAGATTACTATACCATCCAATAGTGCGAGTACTTGCGCATACATCAAAAATTCCTCAAGCTCTTGAAAAAAATCTACTCATGTGTCATTGTCCAAAGAAAGACTTACCCTTCTTAGTTAACTTTGTCAAGGTTGCAAATATTTTGAAGAAGTCTAAAACAAACCTTGTGTGGTACTTTACTAACTCTATAAAACTTCTAAGTTATGTTACGAGGATGGTCTATGTTATCTCACAATTGCCTCTATCCTATAGAGAAAATCCCTTCTCTCCCTTCTCATGATTGTCTCCAACAAATTTGTAGGAAATCATGGCTGAGGTTAGTTCAGGTTATCTAGTGATTTCCCCCCAAATGTTCCATGATAACTAACTTCTCAACATCCCATGATTTTAACCAAGTGAGTTTATTGACTTACATTTCTCACGTCAAAACACACAATGATGGCAAGGACTACTTTTCATGATGTCAACAAAAAATATTGGCAAAACAAATATTGACTTATTAGCATGGTTGGTTATTTATTAAATATGAGCTTTTGGGATGACAACAGGTCATAATCTTATGGGCAGGCAAGGCGAGAGTGGCACCCATGGATGCAAATGAGGAAGAAAATGTATGGTCTAAAAAAGTGTGCATAAGAACAAAGCCAAGTTAGTGATTGAGTTTGGACTTTTTGTTCCTTTTTCTTTTAATAGCATTTTACTTACGAAAAGCTATTAAAAGGAATATTTGTGAGTGTATAAATATGTAAACCCTTTGTATGAATTAATTGAGCAAAACAGATAGAAAAATCAAAATAAAAAATGGCATCTTCTAGTTTTCGAGCAGTCTCTTCCATTGTTCTTTTAGTTCTGTTCTTTAATGGGATGGTGCATGTAGCTTCCCAAACTGACATCGTTTCCACCATCTGCAAGAAAACTAGAAATCCTTCTTTTTGCTTAATGTGTTAAAATCTGCTAGCACCACAGACCTGAAAGAGTTGGCCAACTTCACCCTCAACTTCGCCCAAGACAAGGCTTCTCAAAGCCGTGCCCTCGCCCAGTCCCTGGCGTCCAAGGCAGCCGATCCCAAGCTTAAGGAGCACTATGATGCCTGTGCTAAACACTTCGACGATGCTGCCGAAGACATGGTGGATGGAAAGAACTCCTTGGAGTTTGGTGACTACGGTTTGGTCAACATTACAGCGACTGCAGCCATGTCGGACGTCGACAATTGTCTGGACAGCTTCGCCCAGCCGCCGAAAGACCCATCGGCGCTGTTTGACAACGGGAAGGCTGTGAAAGATATTTGTAGTATCATCTTGGTTATAGCCGATCTTCTTCTTGGGCGTGCCTAACTCTTTTTTCTTCAACTTTTCTTCATTTTATACCACAAACCTCTGTACTTGGAATGCCATGAATCAATAATATGTCTGTTTTGAATCCTATAAATTTGGATATCGACTCCTTCACATTTTAAACCTAAATCTAATATGAATAGATAACCTGATTAATCTAGGGTTACTCGATACTTCTTATTGCTCTCCAATTTTAAAGGTCACAGGTTCTAGCTTGTGAGTCAAAGGCCGCACATAATTTCCCTTTTAATTAGTTATAGGCCTCCTCTACTAAATTCATGAGTTGTTCCAAAGAATCAAAACGGCCGATTATTAATAGAATTCCTTGTCGGCTTTCTATAAAATGCTCATTTGGACGAAAGCTTCCAAAAACATCTTAAGTTAAACCCATGGTGACGAATAACCAACCTGCAATGAATAAAAAGGTATAGTAACCCACACCTGCAATGAATAAAGAAGGTATAGTAATGGTATGAATGACCCAGTATCGAATACTGATGATAATATCAGCAAAAGAACGTTCTTATGTGACATGTATGATTGAAATCGAAAAAGAGAAGTACACTTTGTTGGTACAATTAATAAATTTCAATTCTTTTAAACCTTTCTTAATCCTCGCATCTTTAGAATCGTTCTCATTTGGACATGGTCTAAATTCATTCCTATTTTATTTTAGAGGGGAGAACAAAATAAAAGAAACCAGAGATACATTTTGTGGTCTAAGTTCATTTTGTAAATTATAATTAAAAAAGAAAAAAGAAAAAGAAAACCGGATGAGTTAACCCGGCGAGTTGGCAGCTGAAATCCAAAATGGCCTCCTTTGTTAGGATAGCTCACGTTATCCAAATCATGCAATCGGAGAGACCACCTTAAAGACCACATCTGCCACGTCACCATCCTCCACCAATCAAAACACTGCATTGGATTTCTCAGCTTCACCCACTCCCATAGCCAACCACAAACCTCAATCCCACGTGGCATGTCCACATCCACCAAACCAACCATATAGCGCCTACGTTCTCCCCACCTAATCTTCACCATTTACAACATTTTTGCATCCATTCATTCTTCCTTGCTCTCACCTTCTCACTCTCTCCGCCCATGGCCTCCTTGGCAGCCTCCACCGCCGCCGCCTCCCTCGGTGTCTCTGAAATGCTGAGAAATCCCCTCAGCTTCTCCGGCGCCTCCGCCAGGTCAGCTTCCTCTGCTTCTAGCCCGGTCACCTCCAAGATCGTGGCGCTTTTCGGGAAGAAGCCAGCCCCCGCACCCAAGCCCAAGCCCTCCGCTGTCTCTCCAGCCAATGACGAGCTCGCCAAGTGGTATGGTAAGTCCAACCGTTAAGAACCAGAAATAGAAGTGGATCAAAAGTACTCTGTTTCAATCTCTATCACTTTTCTTCCGTTATATATATATATGAAAATTGTTGGCTCAATTCTGTTCTATTTATTTTGTTTCATTAATTTTATTTACAAAGTTCCGTCGTATTTCTGGTCATAAAATTTAGAAATAGTGATAATTCACACGCTTATACATATTTTCTTGAGCTGATCTTGAATGTATTCATCGCTATTAATTAGGTCCCGACAGGAGGATTTTCCTCCCCGACGGGTTATTGGACCGATCCGAGATCCCCGAATACCTGAACGGAGAAGTCCCCGGAGAGTATGACTTAATTTCTTATCCTCTTTCTTATAAGTTTCTTAAGCTTCGATTGATAATCATTTAATTGGGCCGATTACGATTACAGCTACGGTTACGACCCCTTCGGACTCAGCAAGAAACCAGAGGACTTCAGCAAGTAAATAAAAATTCTGAATTAATTTAGAATTGAGTTGAAGTAGTAAAGAAGAGCTTAGTGGGTTTGTTTGTTGGCAGATACCAAGCATTTGAGTTGATCCACGCACGATGGGCCATGCTTGGAGCTGCTGGGTTCATCATCCCTGAGGCCTTCAACAAATTCGGTGCCAACTGCGGCCCTGAGGCTGTGTGGTTCAAGGTCCAATTCTCTGCACTAATAATCTCTGTTTGGAAGTGCTTTTAAGCTAAAACTGCTCAATTCTGATCCAATATGGGGTGTTGCAGACTGGAGCTCTGCTTCTTGATGGAAACACATTGAATTACTTTGGAAACAACATTCCGATCAACCTCATTGTCGCGGTCGCTGCAGAGGTTGTTCTTGTCGGTGGTGCCGAGTACTACAGAATCATCAATGGCTTGGTACGTTTTGAATGATGAAAAATTATGAAAAGGGTATGAAGTATTTGAGCTGAATGATGGTTTTGTGTAGAACTTTGAGGACAAGCTCCACCCGGGCGGTCCGTTCGACCCGTTGGGGCTGGCAGACGACCCGGACCAGGCGGCGATCTTGAAGGTGAAGGAGATCAAGAATGGAAGACTGGCAATGTTTGCAATGCTGGGGTTTTACTTCCAGGCCTACGTGACCGGAGAAGGGCCGGTGGAGAATTTGGCGAAGCATTTGAGCGATCCTTTTGCAAACAATTTGCTCACAGTCATTTCTGGGAATGCAGAGAGAGTTCCAACTCTTTGAACACTGCAAGTTTGAGTATTGAATGGAAGTGTTGAATGTGTTTGTAAATTTGTATTGAGACTATTTGTAGCCTCTGACCACTCACTCTCAGTGCATTTAAAAAGAGCTATGAACAAGAGTTTGATATCAAATTTTCTGTCAACTTGTGTGTGTAAACTGTGGGTTGGTGCATAATTTCTCTATTTTGTATGCAATTCAACCTTAATATATATATTTAAGTAGCCTATGTATTTTTCATGATTCTTAAATTAGTCGTATAAAGTTGATGTTTAATGAAATCAATTGAATAATAACCATATTTTTCATACCATTAAAGATATAATGTAAATACTTTTATAGAATTACGAAGACAACTAATATGGGGTTCAATATTTTTGGGTAATTTAACCCTATAAACTTATTTTATGAACTAATCTTAGAAAATAATATACGGTTTAAAGTAGAATATTTAAAAGAACAAAGATGAAAAATGTAATAAAACAGAAGTATAATATAAGGATGAAATGATATTCTAACCATTTAAGTTTTGTTGGGTCACTTTATTTAATTATTAATGAGGAGAGATATTAAAGAGATAGACTAGCTAACAACCCAGGCCCAAGTCCACCTTTAGTAAATATTGTTCTCTCTAAGTTTTTCCTATCGAGATTCCTCTTTATCGAGATTCCTCTTTTAAAAAACATGTTTGTTAGAGAGAGGTTTCCACGCCCTTATAAACAAATATTTCGTTCCCTCTCCAACCGATGCAAGATCTCACAATCCACCCCCTTTGGGGCCAGCATTCGTTCCTCCTCAATCGATGTAGGATCTCAAAATTCACCCTCCTTTCAGACTTAGCGTCCTCGCTGGCACACCACCCGGTGTCCACCTCATTCAGGGCTGAGTGTCATCGTTGGCACACCACTAGGCCTTGAAGGGAGTGGATTGTGAGATCCCGCATCGATTGGAGAAGGGAATGAAGCATTCTTTATAAAGGGGTTCAAACCTCCCCTATGACAGACACATTTAAAAAAACCTTAAGGGAAAATCTGAAAGGAAAAGTTTAAAGAGTGATAATATCTGTTAGAGGACAATATGGAGGCAAGGTTTGAAACTAGGAGGTCTAGATTTTACAAAAAAAAAAATGGCTATGAAAATTTCCAAAAATAGGCAACAGGTCAAGCAAGTTGAGAGCACAAGAAGTTCTAGTCGAAAAGAGTTGAGGGGAGAATCAAGTATTACATCAAAGTCATCCATGCTTTTGCTGAGAGTTCCGAAAATAAAAAACAGCGCAACTAGAAATTAAAAATGCATCAACACCAAATATCTGTAGAGAAGCAAGTAAAAACATGTGTATCTCGTTCAGTGAATTGAATGTTCAGTAGGTAAAAACATGTGTATCTCGTTCAGTGAATTGAATGTTCAGTAGGTAAAAACATGTGTATCTCGTTCAGTGAATTGAATGTTCAGTAAGTAAAAACATGTATATCTCGTTCAGTGAATTGAATGTTCAGGATAATAATCTATAAACTTGGTAAAAAAAATGAATGTTCCATGTCTGGAAAGCACCAAAAACTTGAGATTTGCAAGAAACAGGAGTTTTCTCCACACTTTAAGATAGTGTGTAGTAATAGGAATGTGTTTCGGCAGAGATTGATTGATGCTTTAATTACATACACCATCTTTGTCCTCTCATAAAAATTTCATATTTCCTCGTTATCATCAAATCGCATCTAATATCAATATAAATACAAGAAACTTACATCTTTTTAACTCAACTCAACGATGAATCTCCGGAAATGAAGTTGCTTCATGGAGTACCCACCACCCGATACAGTCCTTGAGCTTCCCCTTTTCTACTTCAGTGGCTTCATACCCTGTAAATTTCAAAATTCATTATAAATTCATGATACCCTATTCAAAAATATGAAAAATATGTCAACAGAGAGATTTTGATGTATAAAACCCATTTGGGTTGCCCATTCATTGCCAACAAAAAGAGAAAACTGCTGCTGCATATTAATCAATTCCGGCCATTCACAAGCATTTTCATCTTTCAGATTTCTACCAAAGTGAAGGTTCCAAAGGCTTCTGTCCGGTTCTCAGGTCTCCTTTACAGTAATCAATTTTCGCCTAGCGAGTCTATAGAGGAGGAAACTTGCTAGCCAATCTTATATTCGATAACCAAAGGTCGTTCCCAAACAAAGTATGGGCCTTGTCGCCTACAAGGTGGCGAATACAACTAGCAACAAAATATTTCTGCCTTTTCAAGGCTTGCCATGGTCTTGTTGCAGAAATGGTCGATGGATGGGGAGCGGCAGAGAGTGTCCCATATTTACACCATATAAGCTTCCTCCATAGGGCATCTCTCATGATAATATCTCTAAGTCCACTTTGCTGTCCAAGCTTTGTTCTTTTCCTTCAAAGGGAAACGACCCTAGACGACATTTTTCAATGGGATGGAGAAGCTTAT